CATAGCGTTCTGCTTGCTGTTTTTGGGCGATCATTCTTATATATGCCATATCTCTTCGTTCGTCGAGTTCCTGCCTTCTGCCCTCATCGTTGCTTGTGCCACTCTCGTAGGAGTAATTTAGGCTGGGCTCTCCTTCCTCGGCTGGCATTACCACTTCGGTCCCGTAGACCAAAGAGTAGAGAGTCTCTCCTGTGCTCAATTTCGGAGTTGTTCGGTAAGCCCACATACTTCTGGTAGTACTTCCGGCCATAGTATCTTCATGATATTTAGTATCGATTTATTGGAGGACTCTGCTTGTCCGTTTCCCGCGGAGTGGTACGTGGTTTGAGAGTATTCTTTTGATATGCCATTTATCGAAAAATTTGGGGGTTTTCTTTCCCGTGAATTAGGGTCCGTTATCACAGCTGATTTCTTTGGGGAGGCCGAACCGACATATGATATTCCTCCATATAAAAGTGATGACTTCATGTTCTCATATTCGAGTGAATGCTCTTGCTTCCACCCACTTAGAAAAATAGTCAGTTAAAACTAAATGGAATCGTACATTACCTCATCCTACCGGGAGGGGGGGCTACAATGTTCATTCCTTATTTGATGAACGGCCAATGTGAGGTGACCGAGTGGAGGTGTTTTCCCGCTTGGTGAATCATTGGGGTGCACTTCTGGCGTTGCTCGCATCTTTTCACAAAATCTACAACTGCATTATTCATGGTGGGCAAATAATATCCTATCCGTATGAGGCATCTGACCAGTGCTCGGTTGCCGGAATGAGCCCCACAATAGCCTTCATGGATTTCTTCAAGAACGCTTCGAGTCTGGTTTAGGCCAAGGCACTTCGCTAAAGGGCCGCTAATTCTCTTGTACAAGTCATTGTGGAGGATACTGTATCTGGCCGCTTGCATTCTTAGTTTCTTGGCTTCTTTTTTTTGCCTAAGAGTGTACCATCCTGCAAGTATGTGATAATACGATTGCGCCAGTCCCAAGTCAAGTTAATGGTTCTTACCTCGACTTGATCTAGTGATGAGTTGAGAAGATGGACCATATTTTTGTCTCCTGTTGTGATGCTTTTGGTGGCTGCAGCTAGTTTCGCGAGGCCGTATGCCTCGGCATTTTGTGCTTGTGGAATTTGTTCGAGTTGATATTCGTCGAACTCGGGAAGCATCTTGCATATTTTGGTCTGGTATTTTTACAATCTTTGTTCTTTGAATTGGAAATTCCTTATGACTTGGTTGATTACGAGCTAGGAGTCGCAGTGTAGTTTTAATCGTTTTGCCCGATACTTGAGCGCTAGTCTCAAACCTGCAATGACAGCCTCATACTCGGCCTCGTAGTTAGTCATATCCGGGAACCTTATGGACTGGCAAATTACTTCGCCTGTTGGGATTTCGAGTACGAGTCCCAGTTCGGACCCTGACACGTTGGACGCACCGTCGGTGTATAGGACCCAGAGGTCTTGTGTTTGGGGGGAATCTTG